AAGAGTCAAAAAATATGATTCTACCTATACTTCATGTAGAATGTTATGAATAAATGAGTTAAAGATCTAGGCTATGTTTGGTAGAGCTTTCGAAAATTAATTTTACTCTTATATTTGAATGCTATGTTTGGTATGAGTTTTTAAATCATGATTCCAAATCAATTTCAAAATACATTTTGGTGAAGTAGACAATTTTTAAATTTTTGGTCTACCTGGTCATTCGCCCGGACATCCTCTCGAAAGTTCGGACGGTTGTCCAACCGGTTGACCGGAACAATGCAATTTTTATTTTTATTTTTTTATTTTTTGCAATTACCAATTGTCACCTGTTATTTGGAAGAAAAAAAAATATATTTGTTTTTGATATTTTTCAAATATACAAATTATTTTTTTAGACCAAAATGACATTATTTTTTTGAATTGAATTTAAAAAAGAGTTTGGTTATGAATTTTGAATAGAATTTTGAGTTGTGTGTTTGGTTATAAGTTATAAGTTTTTTAATTAAATTTTCAAAATTATAACCAAACAATTTTTCTCATTTCATATGTATGGGGAGGGTTCTATGTGAGTAGTGATTAGAGAGGCAAAACTATGCTAATGGTCCAACAATAGTGGGATGACTGGAGGATGAGTAGCTAGGTGAGGGTGAAACAAGTAGCTCAAGAAAAAATGTATGGTAGTGCACAAATGGGCAGCATCTCCTCCAAATCCCCCCAATAATCTTTCTTTGGATCTCGAGAAGTTGGGTCCTATTTATAGGCTTTTCCTTGGTACCAAGAGGACACCAAGTGGCCAAATAGAGAGAAGACAAGTGTTCCTAAGGATCACATGGAATATTCTGCCTTGAGCCACCAGGCTGAAGGTGTCACGTGTCCCTCTGTAGACACCCCATTTTTAGGTGGCGACTCTGTATCTGGCAAAGCAGTCCATGTTTGGCACTTCTTTCAAAAAAATCTGTTTTCTCAAAACGATTTGCCGGATTTGGACTCTTTGGTTCAGACTTAGAACCGTGACAAATTCGAGAGTCCTGAGCTGTAGTGACCCCAATATGAACAGAACGGGAGCTCGTTCCTCTCGGGGCGTTCGGGGACGTCTACACCCTCTACATGTACTGTGTACTATCTATTTGTCTTCGCAACTACCATTTTGAGCCTCAGCAAGTGTAGTTATTGTGGGAGTATTTGTCGTTGCACTTGCCTTATCAGCTTGAACTTTAGCAAGCGCACTTGCAGCGGTGAACCATGCTGTTGCATTTGCCTTCTCAGTTCTATATAGCCAATACATGCATTCTCAAGACTTCACTAGTCTGCTATCGACTATGTTCGTGTTCACCTCAGTGAAGCCACTACCCCTAGCCACCTAACCACAAACTCTCCAACTTCCCAGGGTGAAAGTCACAGCCAAGCCTGCTATCAGCCATGTTGTACCTTAGTACCAAGCCCAAGGGGGCTTCCTTAATCTTGCTTATGTGACTAAGGTAGGTCCATGACCTGGGTAATGGAAAGGGAGTCCCATACGCTCGGGCTGCCTTGCTCCCATCTTCGCGGGATTGCCGCAGTATACTGGTATCTCTGGGCCTACTATCGGTTCTAACCAGTAAACCTTAGAACCTGTTGTCGGTGCCAAACTAGTGAATTTCGAGGCCTGCTATCAGCGCCAAGCTAGAAATGACTTTTGGGGGGCTTGTTATCAGCCCTAGGCCAATAATACCCCGGGGCTTGCGATCAGTGCCAAGCATTAGCCTCTATTTATGGAGGGAAAACTTCTCCTAAAGGCTACTATCACCTTGGCGGGATGTTCTTTCCATAAGTTAGTTGTTACGGTCTTAGTTGCTGTGGCAATAGTTGATACGACAATCATTTTCCTTGGCAAGTTTAGATGGCACTCTCGACAATATTAGAGATGGCGGCGCCAACAAAGTACCTCCGCAACTTGGTCGTTGCAAGTGTTGCCTCTGCAACTTAGTGACTTTGGTTTTCTCTTCCCCTCAGCAACTTCAGATGGCGGCGGAACCGACAATATTGGGAATGGTGGCACTGAGGTAAAGTGCCTCAACAACTTGATCGCTGCAAGTGTTGCCTTTGTAACTTAATTGCTTTGGTTTTCTCTTTCTCTCAGCAACTCTAGATAGCAGTGGAACCAACAATATTAGGAATGGTGGCGCTAAGGCAAAGCACCTCAGCAACTTGACTGCTGCAAGTGCTGCTTCTACAACTTCACTTAGACACTTTCCTTCGTGGAGTCTCTTTGGATCTTTGGTGGGTCGGACCTGTTTCAGCCCACTGTTAGCCCACTTCTCTTGGGCTTTAGCCCATGCTCCTTTAGACATTCTTGGTCGCCTTAAAGGGGTGACCTCAGCACTTAGGTCCATACTTAATTTGGACTTTAATTTCTAACTCTCTATAATATGTCACATCAAAAATTCAAAATTCAATTTAAAACTTTTTTCAAAACTCATAACCAAACAAATTTTCTCTTTTCAAATTATAATTCCAAAACTCACAAACTTAAAATATAATTATATTCTCAAATCATAATTCTAAAACTCTATCAAATACTACCTTAGATTTTAATACTATACACTTTCGCATGGTTTTTCAAAACTAACATGAGGGTATTACATAGGTGGGGAGTGGTTAAGAGAGGTAGTGGTGGTGGGAATGAGAGATGGTGAAGATAATTTTTGTTTCGAAAATTAAATTATTTTTTTTCATAAAAAGTAATTTTGTTAACAGATAATATTGTAATAAAAAAGAAATTAAAAATGATAAGGGTAAAAGAGTTTCTAAAATGCACCTAAAAAATGTTGTTAGGCCCGTTTATATTAGATTTTCTTTTGAAAGAAATTAAAAAAAAAAAGACTGTTATTTTTATATAATTTTATCATTTGGGAGATAAAAATAATTTTAAAAATTAAAAAAATATTTTTAAAAATATTTTTTAATAATTTTCTATCAAATTAGATATTATTTTTTTAAAAAAAAATTTTGGTTGCGTTTGGTAGAGTTTTGTAAATGTGATTTGAGAATTGAGTTGTATTTTGAGTTTGTGATTTTAGAATTATGATTTGAGTGTAGAAAATTTGTTTGGTTATAATTTTTGAATAGAGTGTTAAAATGAGGGAGTTTTCTTAAGTGTGCAAGTGCATACCATGTGCCACTTATACAAAAAGTGTAAGTGTAAGGTGTAAGTATAAGTATAAGGTGTAAGTGTAAGGTGTAAGTGTAAGGTGTAAGTATAAGTATAAGGTGTAAGTGGGTTGCACATGGTGTGCAACCTCAAAAAAGGTGTAAGTGTAAGGTTTAATTTTTTACAAAAAGTGTAAGTGTAAGGTGTAAGTGTAAGGTATAAGGTGTAAGGTGTAAGTTGCACACCATAACCAAACCCTAAAATGAGATTTAAATTAAAGTTGGAATTAAGGGTAAGTTTGGGAAGTCCCAAATAAGCTAAAAAGTCAAAAAGTTATTCAAAAAGTTAAAAAGTTAACACTATTCACCAAAAGTCAACAATTACGGCTGCACAACTCCCAATTCAAATTTTCCTCTACAAACCAATTTTTACAATTTTTTATTACACATTTTTCCATAAAAAGTCAAAAAGTTAACCCAAACATCCATATTTTCAATCTCAATTTTTTAGTCCAAAAAGACAAAAAGTACACTTATTTAGTCTTCCCAAACTTGGCCTTAGATTTGAAAGTTTGATGTGACATGTAAAAGAATAAAATGTGTTTGGTTATGAATTTTGGAAATAATTTTCAAACTGTAATTCAAATTATTATAGTCCATAATCAAACACATAACTCGTAACTGTATTGAGCTTATTAGTCAACATTCATAACCAAACTCTTTTTTCAATACAAATCAATAAATTAATTAATAATTTTGCTCCCAATTATTAATTCGTTTTAATAAAAAAAAATTTCGAATGAAAATTTTGTTCGTATAATTCGGCTCCACATAAATTTTTGATTCAAATAATTATGACCCAATTCTTTTTTTCCTGTTAATTTTTTTTTTTCATTTCAATTTATGTTTTAAATTAATTTATTTTCCAATTACGTTTGTTTGCAAATAATTTTTTTCCCAATAATTTTTTGACAATTAGTTTCGATTTATTCCATAATTTTTTTTCCAATGCATTTATTTTCATTTAATTTATTACAACACCCATCTATATACACTTCGTTCTCCTCTATATACACTTTGTCCTCCTCCACCAAGGCAGCACCAAATACACTTCCTGCTCCGAAACCAAGGCACCAGCCAACATACAAGATCAACATAATTGATATTCCCCTCCCAACACAGTCTCTATCCACTAAACATTCAAACTTCTGCCTCCAAAACACTTATATCCACTGGACGTCTGACTGAGCAAGGCAACAACACAACCAGCAAGGCGGCGAGAGAGGGTAACAGCCGAATACAGCAGCAGGGGGCCGACCGGTGGGTTGGTCGGTGGATTGACCGGCTAGTCAACCGATTTCTATATTTTTACTTTTTATTTTCCTTCCTTGCAGTGTCCATATCTCACTTCATATCAGTTTGGCTCATCACATTGCATTTATTAACCTTAGTTAGTCACTTACTAACCTTTATAATTCACATGTGTATACCATTTCAAAGTTCAGACAATGCTTTTCAAAGAATGCTTTTCAGAATTTTAGTGTGCTTTCCCGTGAAGGTATTCAGTGTTAGGATTATTGCTGATCCATATTTTGGACCGTTGAAATTGTGTGCTGCAGAGAAACGGGAGAAAATTGTTGCTAAACAATAAACAGAGTTGTATTTTGAATTGTGTGTTAAAATTATGATTTAAGTTCTGTATCCAAACATAAAATACAAAACATGGTCTGAAAATATAATTTCAGAACACTTTCAAAGAGAGGCTTTGATTTTTTTTTTCTTTCTAAAATAAAAATCAATCTATGTAAAAAGACCAAAATAATAATAATAATAATAAAAATAAAAGAGGATAGACTACCCACAACAACACGGACTAATCATAACTTTGAAGAGGAAGGAAAAAAAAAATAAAAATCTGAAGCCCCTCTCTCTGTCTTTGATTTGACTAGTCTATGGAGTATAGGTTGGCTTGTTGTCTGTTGTGTCTGTGAAGAGCAGGTCTACCGGTGTTGAACGGGTTCAGTTTGGCCGTGACCCAGATCGGATTCCGGGCACATATTGGATTGCTTGTCTGTGTGATTCATTGTATTGCGATGAATCCCAAGAGCGCTGTGGACTTGTGTGTGTGTGCGCGTGCTAATCTTGTAAAGTAATCTTCGGAAATGTGGAGGTGAAACATAAATCTGGTTTTCTGGATAAGATTCATGGGGACTTGTTTCAGTTGTGAAGAAGAACAACAACATCAGCAACTAAAGGATGAACCTCTTAAAAACCTCCCAGGTATCAAGAGTGTTTTCATTTATTTCCAGTGATTTCTTTTTTTACTTTTTATTTGTTACATTTTAAATAAATAAATAATACAAATATTTTGCCCATCAAATTTGTTGTCTATTAACTATGTTCTTTCATTGGTATTCTCTAAGAGTGGGAAACAATTTAGAGGTAGATGTCTTGTGCCAATAAAGATTGATAGATAGATATAGATAGATAAATACATGTACTTTTTGTGGAGAAGGGTTTGTTCCCATCTATGCGCTAGGGGCTCGGTTTGTGTCCTACATTAATAATGTGTGGAGTGCTTATATTTCCACACAACACTTTCTGGGTGCCCCTAAATGCACAATAATAATATTTTGGCACCCTACTTTTTTGGATAACCAAAATTTGAATTTTGTTTTTTTTTTTTTTTTTTTTTTGTTGAACACCCCCAATTAATCTCTGTAGCCGGGGCTGCCTCCGCCGCAGTCCCATCCCATCACCGCCCACATTCTCACTTACCCTTCGGACTACAAGCGCCAAACCAATTGCTGCCATACCAATTGCTGCCATTTGATTATCAACCACTGAATTAGTTGTGCTTGTTTGGATATCAACAGTCAAACCAATAGATCTGGAGTTCTGGTGGTGGCTGATATGCAGTGATCTTACACACACACACACACACACACACAGAATGGTTGTGGCAGGTGGGTGGTGGTTAGAGTCAGGAGGGTTGTGTGTGTCCTAGAGTGTAATTTGATTGATAGGTAGAATTGGAATAAACCCAAATTTATCAAATGTGTGAAAATAGAAGTTGCCTGACATGTGTATCACCATGAAGTCTTAAATTACCAAATTGTGCTTAGATATTCTTAAGATTGATTGCTTGCCATTTTAGTATGAGAAATTTGGAACCTCTAATAAATTTAATTGAATGATGTTGTTCAATAGGTTCTTCATTGATAGTCATAGTTTTCTTAAATCTGTAGAATATATATGAGAATTTATGGTTGAATAAGTGGGCATTGCTGTTGATGATGATTGCATAAGATTCAAAATTTCCTGCAGATCATAAGTCTCATCTACCATCAGTGCAATTTTCTGTCACTAAGCCCTAGACCTCCCAAAATGCAAATTGGGACAACTCAAAAATCTGAACCAACTCAAAATTGGGTTAAAATTTTATATTAAACTTGTTTCGCTGTAAAATTGAAACAACTTGAAATCTACAATTTTTATTTTCTTGATGAAATTGGTCTTTTTCTTGAAAACATAGAAGGAACCTAATCTAAAATTGGGATTTTTAAAATCCGTTCTCATAAAAACCTAGTTGATTCTAAATGGAAAAATTAATTTTTCACAATTAAATGCACCCTAATAAATTGGAACTTTCAATTGGTTGATTCGAAATGGAATAATTCAATTTGCACAGCTAACTGACCCCTAATAAATTGGAATTCTCTAAGAAAATATTTTAAAAATTTCATCCATGATCAATGTTGATTTTGCAAGGGTAAAAACAGATTGTAAGTTATAATTACATGAATGATACTGCTACTTGTCTCTAATACTGCTGTAATATTTTGGTGAAACAGGCAATGGCACTGCTATATCTCCTTCCAAAACAAACTCCACAGTTTCCAAAATGCCAAACACAGCAGAGTCGCAGGAGATTCAAGGCGCAGGTGTTATTTCAGTGACTCCCAAAAATGTGAGGGATCTCCATCAAAATCGCGGGTATATTAGTGTTGATATCTTTACATATGAAGAGATGAGGATGGCCACCAAGCACTTCCGGCCTGATCAAGTTCTTGGTGAGGGTGGTTTTGGGATTGTTTATAAAGGAGTTATAAATGAGAATGTGAGACCAGGTTACAAGACCACACTGGTTGCTATTAAAGAGCTTGATCGTGAAGGATTCCAAGGCGATAGAGAATGGCTGGTATTTGTTATTTGTTTTGGCTTACGTTGTTTCTGTTTTTTTTATTTTTTTATTTTTTTAAGCTCATTTATCTTATTATTATTCAGCCTCGCATTTGCAGTAACTATAGATATGTAAAGCTTGGCATTCTACTTTATTTTATCCTGAAAACACACTACTCACAGGAAATAGCCTATTATTTAGGTTCCAAGGTTGAACTGTGATGGAGAAATTGTTGGTTAACAATTCAAAATGAGGAAGGTATTGTTAGAGTTTGTAACTAGATAAAACCTAAGTTTTGTTTTCAGAATTTGGTTACTAGGAAGTACTTTCTATTAGCAAAAATTTAGCAAACAAGAAAAAAATTAAGAGAGAGGGAGAAAACGTACCATATGCCACGGGGATTTGATTGAGATGCGCACTCAAACTAATAAAAAGAGTTCCGCATGATTCTTATCGTTGCTGCATCGTAGATTTTTTATTTATTCGTGGCAAGAAATAAAGTAGAAGGATGCTACAGGGATCTTGAAAGAGAACCATGAATGCACTAACATATTAGGTTGTGAAATGCAATCTAAAAATAACTTAAGCTCTGTTTGGTTTTCATTTTAACAAGGGAAATGAAAAGTTAATAGAAAAGAAAGAAAACAAAAGGGAAAAATTATCAATAAGTCCTATTTTATTGTTAAGATTATTACTAGTGTTATCAAGTTTCAATATAGTCAATTAAGTTCTATTTTTCATAAAATGTTCCCAAAAAGTTTATTGCTTCATAATGATGTATGTTATCCCAATTTTACTTGTCATGTAACATTCAATTTCATAAATATTTTCAATCTAAGCAAAATTATATTTTTAATTGTAAAAATTATGATATTGTATTAAAAAATTATAAAACCACAATGGAAAAATTACCGATAAGTTTTATTTTGTTTTGAAAATTACTATTGAGTTATATCTCAATATTGACAAATAAGTCATATTTTCTTTTTATTTTATAAATTGTTATAAAAAAGTTCAATTATTCATAATTGTATATTTATTTTTATTTTTATCATTCTAATTAAAATATGAACCAAAAATTTTATAAATAATTTTAATTTAATTAAAAATTTATAATAAAATAATTTTCAATTGTTGAAATTAAATGAATTTTCATAAACAAAAGCATAAGTATCAAATTCATCAATTATCTCATGCATTGAGAAATATATAAATTTGTTATAGTATTATTTTCATAACTCTTTGGAAGTTTAGAATTTAGCCTTTTTAGATTGTTTAAACTAAAACAATTCATAATTTGAAATAACAGAAGATGACGCATTTTATACTATAGTTGTTTAGATCCAATTGTTATTATGATTTTTTAATATAATATTAATAATTTATTCAACTAATTTTTTTAATTTTAATTAAGTTAAAATTATTTTTAAAATTGTTGTTCATATTAAATGAGACGTGTTAAATTGGGATAAGATACACCATTATGGAGCAATGAATCTTTTGGGAACATTTTATGTCAAATAGGATTTAGTTGTCCATATTGAAACTTGATAGGGCTCATAGTAATATTGAGAGCAAAATAGGACTTATTGCTAATTTCCCCCCAAAAAAAATGAATCAGATTTTTATTTTGGTTTGGTTGGGCTCAGAATATGTGAAAAAAAAAATTGAAAAGGCATTTCTCGAAAATTCAATTTTTTTTTTTTGGGTCTAACTACCTATAAAAAATTGAACAACTACAAGTAGTTTCTATTTCCTTTCTTCTTGCTTTTTCCTTTCCCTCACCAAATCTTGGATCCAAACTTTGTATTAGAGATTTTTCTTACACTGATGTCTTGCCAACTTCTCTGGAAATCAAATCTTCATCACCCTTGAGGTCTTGACTTCAGTAAGGAAGCCTTAAAAAGAAGCCATGACTTTGTTTGTGACCCAAAATAGTCACCTAAATACGCCTAAATATAAGAGAGCTAGGCCATGATGAGTTTCACAAAGTTCAAACTAGAACTTGATGGTATCTCTTCCATTTTAGGTAAATCTATCTCTTCTTATTATTAAGGAAGTACTTTTAATATAACTAACCGTTGTATCATAGCAGGTTCACCTAAAGAATGAGTTACCGCATTTTAGCAAACATTGACTTGCACAAATTGTATTAAATTGCTTTTATTATATGATGGCTGTGGAAAAAAAATCAGGGGAAAATTCACTTTACCCCATGTACTTTGCCTCGAAAACACATACACCCCCTTACCTTTAGAAACCTACGTACACACTTGTCCCCTATGAAGCATGGACACTGCTCCAAAGGTCATGTACCCTGTGATGGCTGTGGACCTATTTAATTTTTTTTTACACCCTCAGCCCTTTCACTCTTTCTCCTCCATGGCTGAAGCTAGAATAGAGCTCTGGCTGCCAAAGTATGGTGCGCTTCCTCTTTGTCTGACAATGTGAATGTCACTGTTGGAGAGAGAAAAATAAGGAGGGTGATGACTGGAATAGATTTTGGAAAGCCATGGGAAACCCTTTTAAGGCTGAGTTTGTATTTGGTTTAATGTCATTGCATATATATATTTTTTATGCCATTGAGAATTCTGTTGGATTGCTTTATTAGATGCTTTTTTCTTAAAAGTAAGTAGCAGATGCATCTTTAATTTTGATGACGTTTAAAACAACCCATATCATTATTGTTTGCCTCCATTGTCTGCTTGAGGATGAAAATCATCCATCAACAGTTTGAAGTCTGATGATAATTCAATCAGGGATTTCAATGATATGTGGGGATCATAAGATCTGTTGGACTTCCCTTCAGTTTAATTGAGTTCAGGGTAGTGAGACATAGATCGGGGGAGAGGGGGCTGGCAGTTGTAGTGGAAGAGGTTAGTCGGCAGGTTGGGATAGAGTTTGCATTTTGGCATCATTTGGGCTTCTGTATCACCTCCGTGCTCTTTTTGATTTCTAGAGAGGTGTCTGTTTGCGATGCTTAGTTTTTGTTTAGTTTTGTTTTGTGCACAGATATGAGTTTGCTTGTAGAGGACTCCTTGTCCTTTTTTGAATTTCTTCCCCTTTTTCTCAATAAATTTCTGTTTGTTGCCGATTAAAAAAAAAAAAGAAAAAGAAAATATAGAGAGAGAAAATGAGAAAGGGGAGAGAGGTACATGTGTTAAATTTGAGTGGTTAGACTGGGTACTCTTGTCTTTTGACAGTTTACATTAATGTCATCCATGTTTTCACTTTACCCTGCAGTATAGGGGGGGTGTATGTATGTCTAGGTTTTTTAAATTGAATTTTTATTATTGTAAATGGATTTGTCAATCATTTTTATTTTTGACAAGTGTAAAAGATCACATATATGTTTGTTTTGATGTCCACATGTTTCTTTAGGAGGATAAATCTTATACCTAAATCTATCTGAATCAACAATTCCTCATTTATTGTCTACCCCCCCCCCCCCCCCCCCCCCCCAAAAAAAAAAAAAAAAAAGAAAAAGAAAAAGAAAAAAAAAGAAAAGATGAAAAAGAGGTTAGATTTCATCAAGGGCTGAATCGATATTTTACATTTGTGAGAATTCATTTGAACAGAAAAAAAATATATATATATATATTATGACTATTAAGCCACCATACTTGATACACATCTGTCAGATTTGAGTCGATATATCATCCATACTTCATGACAACAACATTGATCTAACAAGTTGGGAGGATGATCTCATTAGTCGTTCCTGTGTTGCTTAGACAAAGTATTCATCTCTTGGTAGCACCTAGAATAATTTCTTCAGAGTCAACCAGAGTCAACCAGAAAAGTGAATATCAACTAAATTTAGTGGGTTACTTTAAACTATTTAATTTTGAATGATTAGTCCGTTGTTTCTAGGTTAAATATTTTCTATCATAGAGGTGTGAACTTGTTTTCTGTGGATTTGCACTTTTAACAGGGAAAATTTATTTGTGTTGTTTGTTTGCAGGCCGAAGTCAACTATTTGAGCCAACTCCGACACACAAATCTGGTGAAGCTTATTGGGTACTGCTGTGAGGATGACCATCGGCTGTTGGTCTATGAATATATGGCATCTGGGAGCTTGGAAAAACACCTTTTTCGCAGTAAGTAGCTAATGCCATAATGAAGCTGTGTTGTCTTGCTGAATCATGTCAAATGAGTAACCATCCCTATGAGAAAACTTCTGCTTTTATACTTGTGCCATGCTTAAAGTGCACGACTCCATAAACAAATTAGAATTAATGACAAGCAATCGCTGCATACCTCACATTATCATCCTATCTTTTCTTTCTTTCTTTCTTTGTTTATGCATTTGACATCGAAGGTTTACGAAGTTGTGAATATAGAAAAAAAGAAGAAGCGCACATGCATGTAATGGAAACAAAATAAAAATGGAAAAAGGAAAACCCCTTGGTGGTGCAAAGAACAAACTAAGAAAATCAAGCATCTCCTCAGGCTTCTGTTTTTATTTTTAGGTGTGGCTTCTGTCAAACTTAAATGCGCTTCTACTTGTCACTCATACCAGATTATAAATTATGATAAAATATTGCCTTACATACTATTTATCATATTTGCCTTCTGTTGCTAGGAGTGTGTGCTACATTAACTTGGACAAGAAGAATGAAGATTGCTTTAGATGCTGCCAAGGGGCTTTCTTTTCTTCATGGTGCAGAAAGGTCTATCATTTATCGGGACTTCAAGACATCAAACATCTTACTGGATGCGGTTAGTTTTCATCCTGGAAAAATGCTAGGGAACCACAGAATCAATCACAAAATACTCACATTTGTGCATGTATTCTGGGCTGTACATGCAAGCATGTGAGTATTATGTATTGGTAGACTTTTTTCGACCTTTCTAGTAGTTGCTGTATGGGAATGTGATATCTGGCCACCCAATTGTGAATTTGCTAAAAATGCCAGTTTTGTTCCCTCCTAAGAAGCACAGACATAGACACGGACACGGTATTTTCAAAAAAAAAAGGGACACGGACACAGAGTGATATAGGACTAGATATTAGAGATTTTTATATTTTTAATTTTATAATTTTGATATATTATTTGATTATGATTCTTTTAATTTAGTATAAATATTCTAGAATTATTAAGTTTCTTAATTTGAATTTATTTTCTTTTCCTGATTTTAGGTTTCTTGTTTGTCAAGAATTAGGCTAGTTAGTTATTTCCTAATTTTAGAATTCTTGGTGTCCAATTCAGATATTTTTGCTTTCTTGTGGATTCAAGGTTCTATTTTCTCGTAGATTCGAGAGCCCTTTTCGTCTACTATAACGATATCTAGTTATTGTGTATTCCACTGCGTCACAGCGGGTAAGGGAAGGAAGAATTATGATGAAAGTGAGGTTGGAAGACTTAATTTAAGGAGCAAAATTTTTTGGAGTCAAAGGGCAAAGTTGAAATGGGTAAAAAAAGGTGCTATAAATTGTAGATTCTTTCATAGAGTTGCGTCAGGAAAGAGGAAGAACTATTTCATTAAGTCTTTGAAGGTTGGTCAAGAGGTAGTGGTAAATAAGGAAGATCAAATTGTCGATGAGGTTTTCATTTTTTATTCAAATCTTTATTCTAATGGGGGAGTGGAAAGACCAGGGATTGATTGGAAACTAGTGGAAGCAACTAAAGCTAGGTTTTCATTTCCAGCACCACCACCAAACCTAGAAAAATGTTTTCACCAGAAAGCATTTTCTGGAAAAAGTTTTCCGTAAAAAATGTTTTCCGCCCAAACAAACGGAGCGTTAGTGGTCAATGAAGTGGTTGAGTATAGGGGTTAGCATAAGGAGGGCATTATTTTCAAGGTGAATTTTGAGAAAGCTTATCATTATGTGGATTGGGAATTTTTTGTTTTTGGTATGGAAAGGAAGGGTTTCGAGGACAGGTGGAGGAAGTGGATTTAGGGGTGCGTATCTTCATGCAATATGTTTGTTATAGTAAATGGTAAAGCTGGGAAATCTTTTCAGATATCTAGGGGATTAAGACAGGGTGACCCACTATCTCCTTTCTTTTTATATTGGTAGTGGACGTGTTGGGAAGATTGATGGAAAAAGCGAAGGAAGAGATTGAGGGGTTTGTTGTGGGAAAGGATAAGATCTGTGTCACTCATCTTCAGTTTGCGGATGACACTATAAGAATTCAAGGTTACCATTGGGGGGAGATCCTAGGTCGGAGGCTTTTTGGATTCCTAACCTTGTGATGTAGAACAATGCGCTCAAGAATTTCTAGAAATGGATAAGCAAAAGCCAAAGAAAAAGATCACAAGTTTGGGAGGTTTTGAATTTTTTAATTCCTTATTTAGTGCCGCTTGTTTTGGCATGTTTCATTTGCTTGATTAGCAAGATAGGATCTCTTATTTTTGGTTATTCTTGCTTAGTAAGTTCATTTGATTAGCAAGATAAGATCTTTTTATTTTTGGTTATTCTTGATTTACAAGAATCAGTTTATTTGATTATTTCCTTTATTTTGTGTTACTTGTTTTCCAAGGCTTAGTGTCTTATAAAAATGGATGTAAACCTATTGGAAAAATCAGTTATTTCATCAATAAAAATTTGAGTTCTCTCAATTGCTTGTGGATTCAAGAAGTCACCCCTAGAACAATATCTAGCCCTTAAATAGCAACACCGCTCCGTCACTTGATAAGGTTGGGAAAAGATTGGATGGATGTAGAAAGGCTTTATTATCTAGAGGGGGGAGGGGGGGATATACTTCGGTACAATCTGTGTTGAGTTGTATTCCTGTCTATCTCTTGTCTCTGTTCAAGATTCCAGTTAGGATTGCTAAGAAAATTGAGAAGTTAATGAGGGATTTTCTTTGGGAAGGTTGCGAAGAGGGGTTTTAGGATTCACTTAGTTAAGTGGGAGGTTGTTGCTCTTCCTAGAAACAAAAGGGGCCTTGCCATTGGGGATATTGTTGCAAGGAACATTGCTCTCTTGAGTAAGTGCTTATGGAGATTTCCAATTGAAAGTGAATCGCTATGGCACTCCATTGTTAAGAGCAAGTATGGGGTTCAGGCTAATGGTAAAGACTTTATTCTGGTTAGTAGAGGTAGTTGTCGATCACCACGAAAGTCCATTTCTCGTGTGCTCCTACTTGTGCCTACTTTCTTTTTTGTAAAAGTGGGTAACGGGAAAAGTGTTTGGTTTTGGGAAGAAAGGTGGGTGAGGGATTCCTCTTTTGATTTCCACTTCTTTACAGATTAGTCTGATTTCGGAATGTTTCTATTGCGTTGATGGCATGTTCTACCATGTCACCAATATCATGAAATTTCAACTTTTCGGAATCTAAGCGATTGAGTCTCTTGAGTTGGCTTCTTTGCTTTCTCTGCTTGATGGGGTTTCTTTGGTTCCTCTAAATAAGGACAACAGGGTATGGAACATTATTTCTTCGGGGGTTTTCTCATGTAAATCTTTGTTTGAGAGGATTATTGACGTACCTTCCATTCCTTTGTTTCCACTTCATAAAAAAATTTGAAAAGTGGTTGTTCCTCATAAAGTGAAGTTTTTCATGTGGTCCTTAGCTCATGGAAGCATTATGACCAATGATCTTACCCAAAGAAGAAGTCCCAATCATCTTCTGTGTCCTCAAATGTTTGCATGATATGTAGGAGGGAAGCGGAATCAGTAGATCACTTATTTCTTCACTGCCCAATTGCACTTATTTAATGGCAACGTCATTTTGGTCTCTGTGATGTTCAGTGTCTGCTCTGCAGATGTGTACATGCTGTTAGTTTTTTATGGTGGGTTTGGAGGTAATAGGAAGGCCAAAACATTATGGTCTTGCATTGTCTTTGCTATTTTTTGGATCATTTGGCTGGAGAGATGCAAGGATTTTTACTAATAATGATTCAGAAGTGGAAGCTATGTGGGATAAGGCGAGGCATTTGGCTTCAGTTTGGGCTTGTGTGGCTTCTCCTTTCAAAGGAATTTCTCTATTTTTGATTCTAGGGATTGGGTTGCTGTTTGTCATCCTTAGTGGTGGAATGTTTTCTGTTTAGTTTTCTTGTTTTTACTGGTTGGATTAATGCTTTGATCCTCAGTCACCGTGTGAGGACTTCTTGTCCTCCACTCGTTTTATGCTTTTGTTATTAATAAAATTCTATTGTTGCTCGTTCAAAAAAAAAAAGAAAAAAAGTTTTTTCATATATTTTTATTTGTAATGTAGATTAATATTAAATCTACAAACAATCAAAATTAACAAAAACTAACACTAATTGGATATTGAAAAAAACTCACTTCGAATTCCTCGAAACCGTCTTCATTTTTTGATTCCATTTCCCTTTGATTTGATACGCTGTCTCGACTTTACTCGTTTAAAAAGAAAAGTGAATCCTATTTAAAAAGTTTTTTCTAAAGATTTTTTAAACCGACATCGCAATCAGACAGAACACTTATCGTTTATATATATATATATATTATATAGATGATCTGTTAAGTATTTAAATCTAAGCAAAAAAGAATAAACATTCAACATCCATCAAAAATACTAAAGAAAAAGGAAAAAAATAGTTGGCCTGTCCCCAGAGTATCCTGTGTTCAACACGGCTACTACACCTATTTTGTAGTGTCAGTGCTTCATAGGTTCCCTCTGTTATAATGACAAACCACCAAACCAAATTTTGATTTTGCATATGGCGGACATAAAAATACACAAGATGCTAAGTCTACACAAGATGGAATTTCCAATCTCTTTTCAAGGAAATGATTAGTGTCACGTCCCGATTTTTAAACCTTAATTAGGTGGAAGCTAATTAAATTGATATATTTAATAGAAAACTCATTTTCTTACTCATTTACTTCTCAAAATTACTTTCCTTAGCCAAATGCGGTAGATTAAATAACATTAGAAAACGTGTCCATTTTCCCTCTATTAAACTTAACTTGACTTTAATGCTGTGTTTGGTTGGGAGATTTGAGGAGGGATTTGGAAAGGGAAATAGAAAAGGTAGGTGAAATGTGATTAAAACATACCTATATTTCACCTAGTTTCACATACCTTTTCCTTTTTCGTTTCCAAATCTCTCCCCAAATCTCCCAACCAAACACAACGTAAGTGAAAAAAAAAAAAATTTTTTTTGATTAAATTTGGTTTGCAATGAGAAACACGTCCAATTTGTTATTTTTTAAGAAAATAATATTTTCGAAACAATTGCAACACTCAACCTCATTTGGCATGCAAACCCATGTAAATGAAATACAACATACATAATAGGGAATACATAAAGCATTAAGTTTACAACTTATAAATTAATTACATTAATTCCATCAAAATAAAATAAGGCTTGCATGCCCAATTAACCTCTGGTCTAAACCCTGGTTGAGGATGACCATCAGTACCTGACAATGCTGGGGGGGGGAGGGGTGAGTAATGACACTCATCCAATAGTAAACTCATATCTACATTAATAAACATGCAGGTGCAGTGATAGAATATATAATGCAATGTACGTGTCTGATTCTTCGATTCTTTTATTTAATCTCATTAAGTTATTTTATTTAAGTAATTTACATCATATAATTAAATAAAAGAAATAATCTGAGATCAATAACTGCCAATAGGGCATCAATAATCAGCCAACAAGGCAATAAACCCAGTCTCACCAACACATATTGTGTCCAAGCTGCAAATAAGTATATCCCAGGTCTTACCTTGATCACGACCCTTGCTCTCTTCAAACTATGTGTCAGAGAATCCACACCACCTTCTCTCAACTGTGTAGTG